CCCCAAAACCCCAAAACCCCAAAACCCCTGAAAGGTAATAGAATCTATTAATACTAAATTCTTGATAGTAAACTTAATAAATTGAGAGAATAATTATCCATAAAGAGGTATCTTCAAAGTTTAGCTTCTTGATAAAATTCGTCTACTAAGGCTTGATATTTTTTCTCAGTAACCTTTCTTTTAAGCTTAAGAGTTGGGGTAAGTTCTCCTCCAGCTAAACTGAAATCTTCAGGTATGATCTTATATTTTCTGACATGAGCAGCTCTAGAGACAGCTTTTTAATTAGCCTTCTCAATGCACTATTGGATGAATTTTTAGATTTTCTCATTGGCAATAGCCTCTTCTGTAGTCTTGACATCAACATTAAGATTATTTTTGAAGTATTGCTTTGCTTCTGGTGTAAGATTTCTAGTCACTACACCTTTGGCAACATCAATGTCAACCTTGAAGGTAATGATAGCAGCTAGGAACTTTTGATTTTCACCAATAACCATAATGTTTGAGCAAGGTGGACAGGCATCCTTGAAGTTGTCCTCAATGATAACAGGGGCTACATTCTCTCCTCCAGCTGTGATGATAAGCTCCTTGATTCTACCAGTGATGAAAGTAAATCCTTTCTCGTCGACTTTTCCAAGATCGCCAGAGTGAAGATATCCTAGCTTGTCGAAGACTTCTCTGGTTGCCTCCTCGTTTTTCAAGTATCCCATCATTACATATCTACCTCTGAAGCAAATCTCACCAATACCTTTTTCATCTGGGTTGTCAATTTTAAGTTCTCCACCCTACATTATAGAGCCAACAGATTTAAGGTTGAATTTTGATGTGTTTTACATGGTCGTGGCTGCTGTGGTTTCACTCATACCATAAGCTCCTAGAATGGGGATATCTAAAGATGCGAAATACTCTAAAGTGGATTGTTTAATTGGAGCTGCTCCATAAACAAATCCTTTGCATTCATCTAAACCTAATGCTGCTTTAATTCTCTTCAAAATTAAGAAATTAGCAACTGAATAACAAAGTGGTGGAGCTTATCCTTTTTGTTGAGCGACTACCTTGGCATATCCGTGGCCTTTAGCCCAGCCTGAAATTGATTAAGCTAAACCACCTTTGCTTGCAGCAATCTCTTTTAGCTTGTCTTCAAATTTCTCCCAGACTCTAGGAACTGCTAAGAAGTAAGTTGGTTTTGCCCATTATAGAGTTTAAACCAATGATCCTTAGAGAGCATCTGGTCTAGCATAATAAACCTAATGACCCATACAAATATGTGAAATAACATCATTGAGTAAACCTGCAATATGGGAAAGAGGAAGGTAAGATACGAATCTATCATCATCGTTAAATGGCACCTATGGAGTTGACATAGAATTGAATGCTGACAATATTGTCCAGGTCAAATTATCGTGGCTCAACATGCATGCTTTGGGATTCCCAGTAGTGCCACTAGTGTAAATAAGACAACAGCATTGCCCTGCCTTTTGTCTTCTAATTTTGTCATGAATTACCTCATCCTTAACATCTTTTCCGAGATTTAAGAAGTCCTTCCACACGTAGTATCTTTTGTCCTTGACGTCACTTGGAAGTTTATCTAGAGCGTAGACTACGACTGCCTTGATGTTTGGGAGTTTATGGAAATTTACTTCATATTTCTTTAATTGCTCGATGCTATCAACTACTATAACCTCAGCCTCTGAATGTTCAGCCTGATAAAGGCAGGCTTCAGCATTGTTAGTTGGATAGACTCCGCTAACAATACTATTGAAAAGAAGGCCTCCGACGAAAGCAATGGGCCATTCTGGTGCATTGTGCCCCATAATGTTAACTGCCTTTCTCTCATTTGCACCAATGACATGCATAGCTTTTGCAAAAGCAAAACTATCCCCGCAATATTGTTTCCATGACCATTTAAAGACTTTACCACCTCTCTCGACGAATAATGCAGGTTTATCTCCTTGCTTAAGGGATGTGTCAATAAAAGCCTAACTTAGTGTTCTTGGAGGCTCAGATGCGTTTCCTGTAGACCTCATTTTAATTGGCAATTCAGTGTTAATATCAGTGCACCAGAAAATGTTCTTTCCATCCTCACTCTTTACCAATTCCTAATACCCCTTTGTTGACATCATCACAAATCTCTCGTCTTCCATAATTAATTATATCAAAGATTAAATTATAGACTTATTTGAGGATTTCTATTTTTACCTAATGGCTGTAAATTTGCTTATACGGGGTTTTGGGGTTTTGGGGTTTTGGGGATTGGTAAAGAGTGAGGATGGAAAG